TTTGCTACCGGACTGACAAAGAATAGACATACAAGGCTCTGACGGGCTGTGCAGATGTTTGCCAAAGTTACGGCTTCCTGGGGAAAGCGCCAGTGAAATTTCGCGAAAGATCCGCGAAAATTTCGCGAATGTGCCGCTGGCCCCCCCAACGTTCCCCAAGCTGCATCACCCTGTGTTGGTAGCTGGCAGGAGGATTGGGTTGAGTTGTCGTGCCCAATTCTATTTGGCACAATTGTCACACAGATGCTGCAAGTGACCCTGAGTAGCTGTGGAAACGTTCAACCCTCTACTGGGGTCATGCTGCAAGATGTCTGTCCTTCTTTTGTGGCTGCGCGCCTGGGACGGGACAACTTTCAAGCGAGATGGTTTCGCATCAGGGACGTGCTGGTCGCGTTCACGCATGACGTTGAAAACGGCACGGAAACCAACATCCAATCCTGAAAGGTCCTGAAAGATTTTGCCGTTCCCCAGGTCTTTCTTACAAGGCCTAACATCTCCCACATATCAATTGCACTCAGGACTCAGGAGTTCTACGTCCCATACTCCGTTCGCAGAACGTTTGATCAAATTGTCCCACCCGCGCCAGTGGAACAGGACCAGGTGTATTCCAGCAGCCCAATTGAAAGCAGCCCATTTGAAACTAAAAGGGCTGGAGGGCATGAGGCATGCAGCAAGTGATGAAGAGAACATGCATTGAAAAAAACATGTGCCTGGCAGAAATGTTAAGGCTTAGATCCGTTTCATGCCATCAGACCCAAAAAACACACAAGGCAACCAAGACTACTCAGTTGAGGATTTCCGCGCACAGTTTTCGCAGCATGTGGGCACGTGTGGCAGTGAACACATGCCAACGCGTGCTTGCCTCAGTATTTTCCCTTGGTTGAGGGGCTGCAGTTTCAAGTCATCCCACCACGGAGGCGTGCATGAACCAACCACGATTTTCATTGGCGCTCAGGGGCCAGAAACTTATGAAAAAAAACGTGCGCTTGGAACGGGAATGTATGTAAACAAATGGAAACAATGACGTAGCAATGTTGGTTAGAAAAAATGTCTCACCAAGGTCGAGCTGGGTTTGCCACTCATGCCCTGGCAGTGCCCCTGCTTGGTGTATGATTGCGTCATCCGAGTCCATCGTTCAGTTGTTGGCTGAGGTGCCAAGCAAAGGGGCCATTCCGGAACAAACACTGTTCGTGGCGGGCATCAACGAAAACAAATTTTTTGGGCAGGTCTGAACGGCGCTTGTGCCCTGCGAGCGGTGATTTGCAAAGAATCTGCTACGAACGCCCCCTTGGGTTTCGTCAGGATAGTGCAGAAGAAGCTTTGAAGCTGTTGGAACGCGTGGCGCAGAACAATCCAGAGTGGACCAGACGAGTTGTTTGCAGACTTTGGGCCGGAATTGATTTCGATGTGACAGGTACACACTGCTCTTCGGTGTTTCGCAAGAAAGACTTGCGGAAATGGAGCGTGAAAATAAAGTAAAGCAAGGAAGGTTCGCCTGCTTCGTGTGGTTTAGGTAGGCGAAACCGATGTGTTGCCCACGTGGTTTGACCCATGGCAGGCTTACACCGAGTCGGGACTTGGAGGGACGGAAGCATTGTGAGATGATTCCAGTAATGCAGGTGGGGTTGCCACATGTTGACACCACCTCTACGGGATCCTGCTGGTCTTGGTGCGTTTGTGGATTGATGGATGTCAAGGCTGGGATGGTGGACAAGCGGCCAAGAACACCGGTGGGGCGACACGTCTACACAGATCAGGCCTCCTGTGTCAGCTGATTTTTGATTTCCGGCGTTGATGCTTTTGGAGGTCCATGTGGCATGGATGTTGTGGAAGACTCCGCAAGAAGCCCGAAAAATGTATTGGCTGTTTTGGAAACGACATGCGTACAAGGCGTGCTTCCTTGGAGCATTTACGCTGCGGTGTATTCTCGTCATGGCATAGCCAGCGGTGTCCGCCAGGATGCGGAGGCTCGGCGGTTTTGGTCAAAGCACTTGCCGGCAAGGACCTCAGAACTGAAACGCGGACGGGATGGATGGTGTCAGTGTCGACCCATGATGAATTTGAAACAATGAACGTACACTACAAACAGATAAATTGTATAAAGATATATAAACGATAAAATTCAACCTTTTGGGGGGAACGGTTGGCAATGGCAACACTCGTGATTGGCTGGTGAGTGCCCTGCCTTTCATGCATGAGAATTGCGTGCTCCAGGCTTCCGCCTATTGTTACTTCGAGGAGCGGGGGCGTTTCATAGTGAAAGGTTGCACTCCAGAAAAACCCGGCCGAAGGCGTTATACAGCTGCATGTGTATTGTTGGCTTCTCATGTGAGGAGAGGGCTCACGTCATTGCAATCCGGACTACGGAGCACATCATGGCTTTGCGGAAGCAGGTCACTTCTCTATCTCCCATGAGATGTAATTGGGGAGTCTTGTTTGGGAGGGGTCAGAAATCGCATCGCCGAAACGTCAAAACGGTGCCAGGAAAAGGGAAATTCCACCGCACGAAACTCAGTGAGAGACAGCTCCGCCGAGTTGAAAGACGGCACAAAATACGAACGGCGGAATTGGCGGAATGGGCAGCTGTGGGTTTCTGCCACCGACCGATGGGTCAGTGGCAGGTTTTAGTTGTCAACAATGACATCTATGACTTGGTGCTCAAGTACTTGAATGACTTCTTGGACAAGGTTGTTGTGCAGTGGATGCTTGGACTTTTGACCATGTGACCTGCCGGTTGGGAGGGTGCTCCCGAAAAACTCCATTCACAGGACTGATAGTTGATGTGGTTTCACGTGTCGAAGCCTTTTGTCATTCACCGCAGATTCTCTAAAGATACCGCAAAGGGATACGCAAGACAGTTGTATACAAGGGACGTGCTTGCTGTTGGTCAAGCCTGTGGAGGTTCCTAGTGTTGGACCCACACTGCCTCCAGTCTCAGACCGGCGACAGCAGCGCCAGGAGTTTGCGCGACAGCTCCGGGAGACCCAAGAACAGCTGTTGCAGGACGCGTTTTTTCATGGTCCTTTGCAGGGTTGGCGTGAGGTGATTCTTTGGGATCCCCAAGGTAGATAGAACAAGTAGATGCCCACTATACATTAATGTAGTGGAAACCGCTTCTATACATCGATTTTGGACAGTCAAGGTGAAAGTCGGCTTGATCACTAGACTTGGTAAAGGAACAAGTGGGCCAAACATATCTCTTTGAGTTGGGTCTTGACTGGTATGGCCTTTGTTCGCTCATTTTGTGTTGTTGCTTTGTTGTTCAGATGCTGGATAGCTTGCATTCTATTTCGCATGATTCGTTCCACATCCACTTCTTCACTATGTGACTATGTTTTGTTTGCAGCCTGAATCACACGCCCTGGGGCTTGGAGCCTTTAGAGTAGCCAAACAAACAAACAAGCAAGCAAGCAAACATACAAATACAAACATGTCTCTTTGATTCTCTTTGTGGTTTGCTTTCTGCTTTCAATTTTTGGTCCAATTGTTAGCATTGGCACGCAACTGCAGCCCTGGGTTTTCTTCATTTTTCAATCACCCATTGTGAGGATGCAGTGATCGATTTGACACCGGTGCTTGCGACTTGCCGGCATTGACTCTGCAGATTCCTTCCTGACTCCGATGCCTTTGCTCACCCAGCTGGCACAAACATGAGTCTGAAAACGCATGGAGTCTCCACACAAGCCATGAAAAGCTTTTGCCCGCTAAGGCTTTTGTCTATGTGGCCGCGAGCTTACATAAACTGTTTTTTGCCGAGTTTTGTGCTATGCGAAACGTCAATGAACGTTCTTTTGGAGATATTTGTGCTCCCGTGCTGTTAGATTTTGCCTCTGCTGATCTTTCAGTTCTTCTTCAATGCAGGCCGCTTCAGTCAGGGCCGGGGGCAAGTGACATAGCACATGTGAAGCAGGTGTCCACCCAGCAACTTGAAACTGCGGTTCGTGAACCTCTGCCCACCCATACCACCGAGCATAGTCACTGCCAGACTACCTCTTGTGGCATGACGCATGCACCTTAAGGGCTGTGCACATCACCTTTCACACTCCCCCCAACCTGCAGACCACACCATGCTGCAGGTTGCATGTATGAATGATGGCACAGCTTCCAACCTCGCGTCTTTGTTGCTGGGTCGCCGGGCATGATCCACCGCACCGGCTGTTAGGCACCCAGCCCCAGCATGCCGCCATAGCTGCCACATCCTGCATGCCGCCATAGCTTGCCACACCCCGCACACCCACTCTTTGAGCACCGCCCATCTGCTTGTCACGCGTCATGTGCCGCCCACAGGCTCCATGTCGCCCATGGCATGCCACATGCTCCAACCAATCCATTCCTGGATCCTTAACCAACGCTCGGCGTTGGGCTCATAACCTGCGGTTCGTTAGTCACCTCCAGACTACCTCTTGTGGCATGACGCGTGCACCTTAAGGGCTGTGCACATCACCTTTCACAGAAACAAATCCCTCACCTTCGGAACCTGAGAACTGCACCTGCATTTTCAGAGGTGCATGGTTACAGCCAAGGGATACTTGATATTTTTGTGGTGTAGGAGATTTGGGTGCAGTGTTTGTTGATCTTTGAGTCGTTTTCAGTGAAGGTCAGCACTACCTGAAGCAGCTTGAGCCACAGCTTGCCCATTTTTGTGCAAATGGGCACGGTTGATGTCAGAGTTTGCCAAATTGAGGTCTGGCACGTTGGAAAGGCTCTGGTACGGAGATGGTCCCAGTCGAGAGCCTCTTGGATGGAGAGCCCTCCCTGGGTGAGTTTGGTACCATGCGATTGAGACTGGTCACCGAGTCAACCAGTCAGCTGAGGTAGCGTGACCCTGACCAGCGGAGGTAGCGCGTCTTTTCGGACTCCGTGGCAGAAAAACAGGGTGTGCAGATGCCGATGAGAACGTGAGATTCTTGCACACCTACTACACCTACTGTGTTTTACCAGTGCTTGGAGGAGAATGGGACGGGGGTTGCGCAGCTGACGCCGCGGGATTTGCTGTCACATTTGGCTTTAGTTTGGCAATCCTAACCTCCATGGGCCCACGGGTATAGCATGGCAAAGAAGCGCAAGGCGTGGCATTTGTATTTGCGTAACATCTCTTTTGTGCCACCTTCTCCTCAGGCAGCATCCCAAGCAACCCCAGAGGCCAGGTGGACGAGAAAACCAGAGCAGGCGACCAGTCTGAGTCAGTCAGTTGTTTCGAACAGGACCCTGATGAGCTGGAGTTTGAAGATGATGGCGATTGCACAGATCCTAGATCCATTGTAGACAGAAACAATTGGATCATGCAGGGATTTGTGTTTGGGGGTCATTCGGCCCTGGCTCTCTGGATGGCAAGGCCAAGAAGAAGCTGAAGATGAGGTGGATGAACTGGGAAGCCGACGCGGTTCTCACAATCGTTGCAGCACTGTGCCAGGAAGAGGTTATTGATGCAGAAGAGGAGGATGCTTGGATTTTGATTTGAGGGTGATTCTGCAGGTCTATAGGCTTGGCCAACGCATTCTAAACAGAGCCTCTTGAGGACCACAATGAAGGGGAAGAGGAAGAAGGTCCAAAGATGATTTGGAGGTAAGTCAGCCTATGTGGTGATATGAAACGCACTACTTTGCAGATGGAACTTCTGGCCTCACATTACGATTATATAATATATAGCATGATGGTTTGTGATATGCGGTTTCATGCGTGTGTTCAACTGGATGCACATCAGGCCTGGCATTGATAGTCTGGAAGATGGCGAGCAGCTGGATGTGGAGCACCTCGGCATTTTCGTTTCCCCTTTCGAGACGGGATCTGAAAGCTTTTCATCTAAGGCCAGGGACCTATGACATGCTACACCGAGCGCAAGTTGAGTGCTCTTCTCAAGTTGGATCATCCAACTGTGTCCAGCTTTTGTGATGTTCTGCGAGTTTGCTTCTTGCGTGTTTCACATAGTTGCGTGAGCATTCTATCTCTATCCATAGACTTGCTTCACGAACCACCTTCGATGATCTCGGACTTGGCTGATCACGGACACTTTCATCTCGTTTGTCCATCCATTTGTTCCTTTTCTTTCTTCAAGGTGGCCTTGCCTCTCTGTCGATGTGATTCGAGACGACCTGGGGGCCTCCCGTCGGCCGCTGAGACGACCCAGACCATCCCAGACCATCCCATCAAGAGTAGCATGCTACTGCTGACACGGACAGCCACATTCCATTCTAGCACGACTCATGTCTTGCACATGCATCTGCAGCATCCGATGTTTCCATGTCTTCGGCTGTTCCGATTCTTCGTTTCGGTGCCATCTTTACCAGTTTCGAGGCTCCTCCTTCCCCATGACGGCTTACGTGGTCGCTGGCTCTCAAGCCACGCGCGCAGAGGCGAGTCTCCCATGTGGGACGACGTGCGGATGACTGGACCACGGCACTCAGGACAATCGGCTTTACGTCATGAAGTGGTTGGGCACTCGGCTCATGTCCTTGGATAGCTTGAATAGCTCGAAACATCTAGCTACGTAGATTGGAATGGCAGCTCAGGCACAAGCTCTACAAGACAGCAAAAGATGGCAGAGAGGACTTGATAGCCTTAACAAGCGGCTGAGCGGCTTCAGCTCAAACATGTTTCGATTAGCAGCTTGTGGGGGCGCCTGGGTTGCCAGGATGAAGAGGATGAAGAGAGCGACAATGAGGCACTTCCAGTGTCGTAGAAGTAGCAGCAATTCATAGCAATTCTATATACATGTATTTTTACCCATGCAGTGCGTGAATACGCTCGAAACGGGCTTTGCTTTTGCAACTCGTCTTTCACCTGGAAACATGGGAAGGAGAGTGAGGATGAGCATGAGGCTGCGTTGGAGAGCATGCCTTAACACAGCGTGCTTGGAGAGTGCCTAGTTCCACCAGAGGTTGTGTTTTTCGGTGATTTCATGAGGTCAAAGGCTAGTCCACACCCCGGTGGTGTCAACAGAGCACATGCCCCAGGCATTGTGTATGTTTTTTGTTTATATTGTTTCTCCCGCACTCACCCTCAATGCCGCGCTGTGAGAATGTTTGAGGTTCGTGCCATGCCACAAGCTGGCCACATTGTAGCAACCTGGGCCGACACGGGCAAGCTGCACATGCTTCAGCCTCGGTTTCCGCCAAGCAACAGTAACAGAACTTTCTGGAAACAAGCAGGCTTCGTGGGGGAACCCTCGCTGCCAAGGTGGAACCTGGATGCTCATCGAAAGGCTTTGGACAAAGGCGACAAGGCACCGATGAGTACAAGGGTGAAACACCAGTGCTCACACACACAATGGAATTCAGATCTTTACATTCACCGACGGTCACCAACCTGTCTATGCACATTATATATCACTTGTGGCTACTTTGGGAGTTCTCATCGGCTCATTGCCAGTGCATAAACCGTTTGGATATGTTTGGATGGCTGATTCTGCACTCACGCACTTCGCGGCGGATGTTGTTGGGACACTCCCAGATAGACTGGCTGTCTCATCTGACGAAGGCACCACATTCCGTGAAGCCAATCTTCACCAGCGAATTCCATAAAGATGAGGCAGCAAAGATGACAGATTTCCGCCTGATTTGGACATGTTTTGCGATGCAGGGATTTGCCATGGACTTCAGCCCCAATGAGGCTGGGCGTTTTCTCTCTGGGAGCTCTGCCCTTAGATCTTCAATCCGGTCTCGGCTTTGGGCCGCAACAAGTACACTGGTTTCGGCTGCTGGATGTGGCGGTTGGACCCCCCAAAAATGACGCCCTTCTCGCCGAGGCAATGACTCCCAGATTCACCTTTGGGCCCCGGTGCCCGGAGGCTCGAGAGCGGTTTTCGACCCGTCGGACTTTCGGGTGGAGAAGGTCTGTCCGTGGAGGTCGACCGTCCACCCGGTGATTCAAGGAAAAAGGGTCCTCCCATGTAAGCGGCTGGTTGCACCGTTGAAGCTGAGCAGGTTGGACCGTTGAAGCGGAGCAGCCTTTTAAAGGCCACAAGTCATCAGTGGAAGATGTGCAGTCAGCAGCCTTAGCAATGAGACTGAAGGGCTCCGCAGTGAGACTAGTCCGTTCATCTTAGGTGGAAAAAGCTGGGCAACAGTGCGCAGCCCTGCTCTCAGGGAGACTCTCTAAAGTCACCCAAAGTATACTACGGGAACCTTTTGTGCTTGCATGTCTGGCGGGATTTAGGTCTACTTTTGCATCTTGCAGTGCTGATGGAAGCTTGAAAGTTTGGGATATCCGAGAGAAGGAGTCGGCGACCAGTTTGCCCCCGTTGGATTCTATGATGTTCCGAATGCTGGTTGTGCTCGGACGAGGATCGGAAGAAAGCCTCGATCAACATGCCCCGCACTTCACGAGTGTTTCGTTGTTCATGGGATCACTGGCACCTCACCGTGAATCAGGGTGGGTGGGGGATCGTTCTTTCAAAGGCCGGATGCTCACGGAGGTTCAGATGTGAACGTTCTGAGTGTGAGTCTAAGTGTTCATTTGTCCTGCTCGATGCAATTTGCTGAGCCTGCCCAGCATGTCAAGTTAGAACATAGCAGGGAGTCACCAAAATAAACCAAATTATTCCCTTCAACATTCTATGATGCAGGTGTTTGTTACCATGGCCTGACAGATGAGTCCAGAGAAGACTGTTTCACCGCTTTCTTGCGTTGTGGCATGAGCCTTCTGTCGCTGAGCTGTAGTCCGCTTTTTTTTCCCACCATGAAGGGTTTGGGATGTCGGCGTCATAAGGCTGGAGTCCAATTGTCGGTGAGCTCATCGTCACAGGTGCCCCATTTTATCACATAATTTGCTGAGAATTGCGGCGAGTGGCGAGTGACGAGTGTTCCAGTTTTGATTATGGCAGGTGTGGTGTGTGTTTAGGTTTGTCGGGTGTTTGCTGGCTAAATAGTTGGTCAAGAAGAAATGCTTTCCGGTGAATTGACGGATGGAGGTCACGCCCTTGCCTCTTGACTCAACAAACATGTTACTGTAACATAAATGAGCAAAGGACATCCAAAGATACGCTTTTGTGAATGTGAGCCTTTGGCTGTTTAGATTCAACCAGCGTGATATGGGGTTCTTGGACAAAGTGCCATGGCCTTGCGAACCGTGCCATCCTCGCCCAAAGACCAGCATACCAATGAGCGGCGGCAAGCCTCCACCTTGTCCTTGGGACAGCTGCAAGAAGAGCTTGCCCGTGTGGAGGACCTTTGCCAGTCTTGGCGGATGGAGATTGCCGCGCGATGGCGGCTGGAGGGTGCAGGCAAAGCTCGCCGATTTAAGGCGGAGTGTGCCATCGAAGAGCGTACGCTGAAAGTACTAAGTGGTGCACAGAACCGAGAGGATCTAGAAAGAATATGGCAGGAGCACCAGCGGTGCACCAAAGCAGCACGGGATAAAGAACAGGGACTACGGGAGGAACTCTGTAACGCAAAAAGAGATGCTCAGCAGCTTTCCCGTGGACTACCGGAGTTGTTGGAACGCCGCCGGTATGAAGCACGGAAGCAGCGTCAGGGTTTGGAAGGGCTGCGTCGGAAGAACCGCCTTTGTGACTCCTCAGTGGAGGAGCTCAAGCAAACACTGGCAGACTTGCAGCGGCAAGCGAACGATTTGCAAGAGAAAGCGGTGAGCGTCCAGGATTTGCACAGCCACCACGAAACTCAAGCAGAGGAAGCTGAGTCCCAAGTGGAGGCTCTGAAGCTCCATTGCTCCAAGATGAAGCAGGGGACGGATGAGCTGCACCAGGCGCATGCCCCACGAATGGAGCATGCTCAGCGTTTGCGTGAGCAGATCCCGCAGCTGCAGTCACATGTTCTCCATCTCGAGAACTCTTTGGCACAGCATAGGGAAAAGCTGAAATCACAGGTGGAAGACACACAGTTGGCGCATGACCTGGAGCTTCAAACTCTGAGAAGAAGCTTGCAAATTCACTCACATCGCCTGCAAGCAAAACAGGCGGAGATGTCATGGCTCCGGCACCTCGCAGAGTCTTTGGAACGGGACCTGGCCAGACGTCAGGCCCAGTCGAACCAGAGCTCACCGACAGAGCCGCAAAGTCCTTTGAGCACCAAATGGGCTGTCTTTCTTCACTTGTCGTTGAGATCACTGCTGGAGGTTTTTGTTGTTGTAGTTTTTCTAAGTCTTGGGCCTGTGGCTCGAATTCTTGGCTCATAGCCACTTAGTCATAGTCACAACATAATTTTGCAAGGTTGGCCCGCATGGTGCAATTTAGCATGATGTGCGCCCCTTCTCAAGAATTGTTCAGAAGCTGAGCAATGCCAGATGCCAGATGCTAGACTCATGGAATCTGCTCGCGACCGGGTGAGACAGCCAGCGACCAGCTGAACCGGTCAGGGCGATCGCTCATGAATACACAGCAATGGCGTCGCCACGGCGTGTGCTGTTTGATGGGCACAAGGCTGGATTGACACGGATGGGCCAGGCGGACAGGACGATGCATAGCATCCAAAAACCAACCGAATACTTTGGGTTTGTTGAGTCTTGTGTTTTGCATCCCCTGGCAACCCTTGCGCATGGTAGTCATGACTATTTCATGCCTGCCGGAGGGCATGCATGCACACTTCCCCACATGTTTTCTCTTCTCTTGCATCCAGTGGCAATGCCAGGATGAGTCGGCTGATTCCAAAAAGCAATCGGACTCAGGGTGTTTGAATGTGTTTCTTATTGAACATTTGGATGAACCTTGTCATCGAGGTTGACAGTGCAGGGAGGCTGGGCAAGTGTGATTTACACGCCCTTTCCTTCTCGTTTCTCCGTTGGCTCTCTGCCATCTCAGGACCTGAAGCATCCCCAAGAAGATCGGTCCTGCCAGGTGTGGTCTAGCCGAAGTAGAGGGCCTGCAGCCGAGTAGCTTGTGGCAGCTCAGCAGCTTGTGGCAGGTGTGGGCTCACCCAGGAAATCCATCTTACCAGGCCGACGAAAGCCGGAGAATAGGGAGTTGGGTTGCATGTGCTTTTTGGAACTGATTGCTACGCTTGGAAGGCAGTGAAGCATCACCAAGGAGATCTGCTGATGCATCATCTCCGAGGAAATCGATCCTACCAGGCCAACAGCTGAGCTGATCTGATGCCGAAAAGTGATGTCACCAAATTCTAGGTGGGCTTCCGCTGACCGGCAGTCAGTCACTGCAACCACCAGGTCCGGGTCGACGGCCGTGGGTCCGGCAATTGGACTGTGCGAGTGTGACCCGAGAGACCTTCTCCAGGATCCGAAAAGAAAGCTCAGCCGCCCAAGAGAAGCACACTGCAACAGGTGGGATGGCCTGAACCTTCGTTTTTTCAGGGGGGAGGTCGTGACCTCCCTTCAGCTTCGGTCGCGACCCGGTTCTCTTCGCTCCGCGGAGATCTCCGAGGCGGCTCAATCGGTGAACGCCGACTCGATCTTTGGAGCTTTGAGGTGCCTCCACGAATGACGAGGGAGAAAGGGCGTGAGCGACTCTAGGTCCAGGTGGTCGACGTTGGCGAATCTGCGGGGTCCGGGTGGCACCGAGTTTGGCCGTGCGTTGATTTTTGGGGCACCCTTCAACAGCATTGGGAGAGTCGCACGTGGGACGTTCGGATCTGCTGTGGGACCTTCGGATCGCCCAAGGCGAGGCAATGCAGTGAACGTTGGCTTTGGATCGATCATGATTGAGCAAGACCTTATGGAGGCCATTTTTTGGATGGACGTCTGTGCCAAGGCTAAGCAGCAAAGTCCTTAGCCTAAGGCTTCCTAAGATTATTAGGTTGAAGACAGTTTTGACTGGTTGAAGGGAGCTCTTTTAAGCATCATTTCCCCACATGCCAGGTTCCGATGTTCAAAAGCTGTGGTACCAACTTTGTCAGCAGGTTGGCGCAGGAGCAGTGGGGGGGAAATCATTCGTCACATTTCGTCGCTGGGTGGCTCGTTTTCTCCCTGACGTCGCAGGATGCCTCGGAAACCACCAAGGCCTTCTCTGAAGGTCAGCCGATCCATGAGGTACGGGCAGATATCGGACGTCAGGTTCATAGCCTGACGCGTCGGGAAGAGATGTCTCGGGTCTCTTCAGGCTGGCGAAGCGGGCAAGAGTATGATCGTGCTCACCAGGGGAACGGCTCAAGTCTTGAAGAAGGCCTGGTGAGACGTGGTGACCTGGCTCCGTCGGGTCCGCCATCGGGTGGGGTTTCACTGGATTCTCCGATTGATGCAAGTTTTTGCCAGGGCGAGGTCTTGATGTGTCTTGGAATCCATTCCCTTGCCAGTGTGCTCTTTTTGTGAGTTCCGATTGTTGCTCTTTTCGCGTATATAATTGGATTCAGGAATATGAAGCAGGGCGACCACTATGGCGAAACGATGCTGCTTGGCTTGGAGCAGGTCTGGCGCGTTTCCCTGGTCTCTTCCTCTTCCAGCACCTTGCCGGAGATGGGGCCAAACCACGCTCGCAAGATCAACCACTTCGGTCTCTGGACATGCCGTAGGGTGGACCTAAGTCGATGTTCTTTCCGCGCAAACCGTTGGGGGGACAAAAAAGCAAAGCCTGTGACTCTGTGACCCATGATTCTTTCCCCATGTGTTTTTTCCATGTAAGGTATGATCATCGAGATTCGCCGTGATTCATTCCGCAGTCTCTTGGAGGCCGTGATTCCTTGGATTCTTGGGCGTAGGTTGAAGACTGCAGGCTGGACTTGCCTTGACATGAGAATATGCCAGGAATTTCCAATGGAGATGAAGCAATTTGAGTGCCTGATCTGAATTGGAATTGGGAAGGCTCTGGAAACCAGATGGAGGCACAAAAGGTTGGATCCATTTTTAGCTCATTGTTTGATGCACAGCTGGCCGTGATGGGCTGTGATGGGCTTGGACAGCTGGATAGATGCCTGTGGAGACAAAGCGGGTGCAGACGTGTTTGTTTCATTATATAGGGTGTAGAACAGAGTAACTGACACTCCGGACTTCTAGATCTTCTAGTCTGGTAGATCTGGTAGATTTCTGGCAGCGGATTGCACCCAGGACATTCTTCGATGTGACATTGGAGCAGTTATTCTCAGGAACAAGGACTGCGACTTGTGATATTTTCACTGGATCATCCCCCAAGATGTGGCCTGGCTCCTTTCTGTGTGAGCTTCCGCAAGCAACGTGCAAGCAACGTGCAAGCAACGTGACCATTTGGGTGCAAGCTCAAGAACGTGAAGGGATTCTCCAAGGATATGATAGGATAGCTTAGCTTCCCCATGCTTGCCCCAAAAAGCAACCTTCAGACTCAGAGGAAATCCACGAACCTCCCGGATCCGCCTCGGACCCATCTCCGAGGCTGGAATCGTTCGATGAACACATGCTACGACGCGTCTTCTTCCCCGGAGAGACGGTGACTCGGCCGCGGCGCCCGCCCCGCGTCTCTCGGTGTCCGAAGCCAGGTCCTCATGGTTTACTTGAGGTTTGGCTTTCAGGTCCAGCCCGGGTGAGGTGCCAAGCACCTTTCGTCTCTTTCAATGAACAAGTGTTGTTTCTGCCTATCCACCAACTCAGGTGTTGCAAGATGGACCTGACAGCAAAGAACTGGTCTTGCTACAAGATGGCATGGGAGCCTTGGAGATCGCTGGACGCACCGTGCGCACCGAGAGCAAGGGCATGAAGAAGGTCTGGTGGGATGGACGGCAGGGGCGGACGACAGGGACTTGGTCGGTCAGGCGTCAGGCGGTGTTGGACTTTGGCCCACTGCAACGGACCGTTTTTCTTCCGCCTTTGTTCTTCTTGCCTGCAGGAGAGCTATGAAAGAAGAGCGGAAACTCGGCGCGAGGTGCAATCCG